CACCCCCCCTCCCCAACACGGAGCTCCCGCCTCACACACGGTCTCTCCTCCCCAGTGGGAAGCGGCTCCTCCCCACACAGGCATAGCCGAAGGCCTCTTCTGTTTCAGGAACACCTGCCTTTCCCTCCCCACACCGGCATGGCGGAGGGCCTCCTTTCCCGTGAGAGGTGCCTGGGGGTCCCGCTTCTCCCCAGCCCTCAGTAGCTCCCACCATTTTCCTCAAGAGGGGGAAATCAAGTAGCTCCTGTCAACTCCCTCCAAGGAGGGTCTCAGGGCATCATTTTTCCATTTTCTTCTCACAACAGTGAAATACCTATTTAAAAGCTCAAAATCCCCAAAGGAGCCTGGTAAGGGTAAAGCAAAGTGCTGGTGTCAAGGAGTGTGTTCGTGTACAGTTTTGCCCTTCATACTGAAGTCACAGCCATTAAAAATGCAAATAGCCCATGGAAGTTACAGTTACATTTCCACACGGCCAGCATGCACTTATATCAGCAACACCAATATTTCTTGAAGCGTGCATGGAACAGACAAGGGAGAGGTTTTGGTAACTTTGGTTTTATTTCATCAGTTTCAGACCAGACAGTGCGGATACAGAAAGTACCGTGTGTTACTGCAGTCACCATGCCCGACTCTGGAAATGGGCATATGGCATCAGGACAGCACCTATACATCCCTGACAGAAGTTTACTGAAAAATTTTATGCAGAGAAGACACAGTAGGTCTATTACTTTGTCATTTGTTTATCTAAGCAGTCACACAGTGACACTGATTATATCTTACACCCTTCTGTACACTAAGAGAAAAAAATCCAACACCATACAGAAGATAAGCCAAAGTTCAGTTGTTCAACATCTTCCAGGTTGTCAATTTCTCCTTGTTGTATCACCACTCCCCCCCCCCGCCCCCCCAAGAGCTTCCAGTTTTGCAGGAGATTGTCAAAGCTGGGGGGACAGGGGGGAAAGCCAAGTCTGTTCATCTGGGATTTAATAGACAAACAAAACCATGAAACAAGTGTGCTAGGACTCACAGGAGACTTCCTGATTTCACTGGACGACACCAAGGCCTAGATAAGCAACAAGCCAGTCAAAAAGGACATTAAAAAAAATTGGAATTATCTAACAAAAATGAATTCTTAAAAAAAAAAAAAACACCACCAAACAAAAAACAAACCAAACCACATCTGATGGTTATATAACCAGTTCACCTATGATGATTACAAGACATAGAAAGAAGGAGGTCATTATGCTTTGAATGACATCCTTTGTTGAATGTTGCCTTCAGGCCTGGTTTGCCTTTTGGACTAACACTTAAAAACATGGAGATTGTTAAAAAAAAATAATATTACTTTTCTTTTTGTTAACTATAAAAAGAGAAACAGGAACTTCATAGCTTCAGATAGGTTGGGCTTTAAACCATTAAGAGAAGCAACAGAGGAAAAAGTTTATTCATGGTTTAGAGCTTTCAGTCTACTCTGCATCTAACAAATATTTTAAATTCCTGATAATTGTGTACACAACATTTAAGAACGAAGGGCCTGATCCTGCAGCCCTTATTCCTCAGAAGGCAACAGATGCCAATACCCATCGAGATGGCCTTTTTCTTTTAAAAAGGTCAGTAAACGAAGCACAAATTTGCATGCAGCACTGCACGACAATTACAGAAAGATAATTTATAAATCTGCAAAAACTTCAGCATGTACTCAAGCTATACATACAATGTGAAGAAGTTACCATTGTCAATGTGTCTTCAGACTGCAAATTATGTCTAATGGCTTACTGTAGATGCACAGCAAACTCATCTTTTCTTGATAAATAAAGAAACTGCTGATCAGCACAGTGAGGAGAGGTATGTAAATCAGGGTGAACGGCCAAGCAAGTGCAGAGGTATTCTATGAAGAATTTATTTTCTTTGCTTTGATAGCAGCTTCAATCTCTTCCATGATTGGCACTGGTCCTGCATAATTATTCGCTTCAATAGCTTCTAATTTCTTCTGATATTCAGTTGGCAAGCCATTCTGTTCTGCACCCATGCAGATAACCTAAAAATCAGAAGGGGGAAAAAAAAAAAAAGCGCACCTTCAATAATAGCGTTAGGAAGGACAGACCCCTCCAAACATTTACTCATACAGAAAGAACCATTCAGTTAACATGAGAATTAATCCCAAATAATGCTATTTGTACTTAAAGATAGCCAAAGGCTTCTAGAAGACCACTGAAGACCTTAATAGCATCAACAAAATTACTCTGAAAAGGCTTGTAACTACCAAGGCATACCCCTAAGATTCTGAAATGGTACTAACAGGCACAAGACTACACAAGTAAGCTGCTATTCAGTTATGCCTTTCTTTCTTCCAGGGAGGAAGAGAACTACTTTTTATGCCTTTACCCAGCCTTAGTATCACGTCTCAGTGAGAAGCAGCATACATTATTGAAATTATTTTTAAAATTAAACTGTTCAAATCCAAAGCACACCAGCATGGTTGTAGTAGACAGGTTATGGAGTAACAGAAACCTAGCTTAGTCAAAAAGCACACCCTTCTCAAACCTCCTAATCTTCCCCCCCCCCCAAGTTTTGGGTTTGAACTGCAGAGCATTTTATTCCCAGTCTGTTTCACATTTTCTCCAGTGTAACAGGCTGACCAGTTTCTCCCTTCCCAATACAGACTCTTGTGAATATCAGCTGAGAAGGAAACCTAGACACATTTCATGGTTATGGAGTAACAGAAACAGATACTTAGCTTAGTGAAAAAGCACAGATTCCTCAGAATTTCCTACCACAGCTTTCCTTCTACATACAAAAATAAACTCCAGTATTGGGGCAAGAGAAAATAAGTGACAGTGAGAGGAAAAGAGCAGGCTATAGGAGCCAAGGCTTGAAAGAGACACCAGCAAGTTCCCATACAGAAATGAAAAAATAGATTAAAATTCAGATTTAAGAGCTGACACTATTGTAAATACTCTTTCATGCAATCAACAGCCAGGAAATTCAAGGATGAGGTGTCTAGAAAAGATGACCTTTGCCACAAAAAGTACACAGCAGTAGGTGGATGTAGATCACTGTGTGCAGATGCACTCACCTGCATTAAATTTTCAGCTCTCCTGCCTGGTCAACTTAAACAAATAAAAGCTGGGGGAACAGGGGGGCAAAAAGAGAACTAACAACTGACCCTGACAACAGCAGGAGGGAATGTTTAACTAGATAAAGTTGCCAATATTGGAAGTCTGCTCTTACAGCACACTAGCGAGAGCTGACACACAGCAGCAGACTATGTATTAACTGCTAGAAAAGTCCTAAAGATCTGTCTTGACAGGAAGCAGGAAGACAGGGGGGAGGTTTGTGAAGTAGCAGAGCCTGCTTTCTAAGCAAGCTTTCTCTTCAGAAGTCTGGCAGCAGCTAGCCTTAGCTATGCTCCTAGAAGCTGATTCATGGGAGCCAGTTCCTCAGTTAAGAGAAGGCTACACACTTGGGATTTAACAAGCTTAAGCCCTGTTTCTTTGCTTTCGGTAGAAAAAAAGTCAACGTGTTACAGTGATGCCTATCTGCAATTGCTAATAACTGCACAATTCCAGACATGCAGTCATGCCACCCGGGGCTAGGCCCACATCAGATCTCACAAGCTAAGCAGGTCAGGCCTGCTGTGTGACTGGATCATGTGTCTCTATACAGTCAGTGTGTTGCAGAACAGTGTTGAAACAGCTCTGCCCCACCAGCCGTCAAGTGGGAACCCTGCAGTGCTCCGCATTGTTGCTGGAAGTCCTGTGATATACTGATGATGCCTCTGGTAAAAGGAGGCAGGTGAACTCCCGTATTAAATGACAGTAAGATACTGCATAAGACAATAGGGATAATCCATGTCCTTGAGACTACAAGCCAGGTGGTGTATTTTCCCCACAGAAGCTTCTCTCTGTCCTTTTAGTGGAGTACATTAAATTTTCAAACAGAGGACTGCTGCATATATATGTAAACAACATCCTTCAGAAATCCTTGTGTCAGTCATAACTAATTCACGAGTTAAACAGAGGCTTCACGTAAGGCATAACTAAGCCAAAAAATAAAACTGATTTAGTAGGCCTTTAAGAGCTAGCCATCTTCTGCAAGGATCATTACACTATTACATCACATAAGGATTAAGTTATACCTTTACATTAGAGTTACTCATGCCTTCCATCCACTGTAAATAAAGTACTTATTAAATAGGACAGAAGTACTGCATTATATATTTCTGTGCATTCTCTCCAAAATGACAGTGCAATACTTACCTTTTTATACTGAGGAGAAGGGGGACCACAGACATAGTCCTTCATCTGGTAGCTTCGACAGGTAAGTACCTTTCCTGCTTGAGTGTGGACATTAACTTCTATTGGGACATAAATGCCATCTTCAACTCCCTCTTGCCTGTAAAGGACATATATTCCTTTCATGCCAAATAACTGATGCATCTTTTAAACAAACTGTGGAATTTAACATATGCGTTTATTATAACAGAATTCAAGGCAGGACACTGGTCTGCACTGTTAACAGACTTAAAGAAAAGCAAATAAAGCAAAACATATTCCAGTACTTTTTGTACAAAGTTGTTTCCCATCCAAAAATAAGTTTCTAAAGAAGCAGCAGCATTCCCTTTTATCATTTCAGCTCTGTAAGGAAAATGACTAGTGGTTAACTTGCAAAGAGAATACTCCTTGTGAATTAATTGCTGTGCAAGTCTGATAATCTACAAGAGAAACACAACCAAGATTATCAGAATTAATGAGCCAGGCACATATCATTATCTGAGCGGAAGGTAGTGAATGAAACAACTGCAAAGTTTTATCTTGCCCATTGTGTTACATTTGAATAAGGGGAAACTCGCACAACTCTTTCGATGCACGTTCCAATGAATAATCCAAGACAGCCTTTAATTTGCACAATGCATGTACAGCAACAATAAACTAGATCAAGGCAAAACCTTTTTTTTTTATTGGCAAAATCATGCTGCCTTAGGAAAACAGAACCAAACTCAAGAACAACGTTGCTCTTGTCTTTAACCATTAGCATTCAGCCACCAAAAGTCTGAAGAAATAGAAGTAAACGAGAAGCTTAAGAAGGGGGAGAGAGGCTTTATAGCACAGGCTTTATAGCACAATTAACTTTAGATGTGCTTTAGATATGAGTGGTAACAGGGGTTTTAACACTGCTCATCAAAACATCATGTTGACAACTTTCTTTCAAAGACTACCATTTCAAGTTACTTAACGTACACAACACGGGACATGTTATGTGAGCAACTAGGTTAAGTGCAAGTAGAGACTGGAAGCTAACTGTAGATTCAAGGCCAACAGACTGCAAAATAAGTCACATGGGTGTATGAGAGCAAGAAAGATGTTATAGTTAAGTAACATCCAATGCTAGGATATATTAGCAAAAGTAATGATTTAGTCCGTAACTTTTAGATTTGTGAAGAGCAGAGGACAAAAAAAAAAAAAAAAGCTGACCACGAGACAGCACGAAAATGCATTTGAAGCCAACAAGTTCAGCAGTCTAAGCAAAAAATTCCCCTCCCATACTTGTTTTCTATATATTACATTATTTTACTAGTATTTCAACTAACTACATGCAACATCAATTACATATTCCCTCCTCTGCTTCTGGATAACAAAGCAGAGACTTCTTTACCCTGACTGGGGGAGGGGGTAAGCAAAGAGGGGAGAGGAGGGGGCACATAGCGATATTTTTTTCTTTTTTTCCTTGATACATGGACTTTCCTGGAAATAACTTGGTTGAGAACTTACAAACATATCTGGTTGCGCACAGCCACAGAATCCAAAGACCTTCAGCATGAACACACACAAGCTCACTTGAGTTGGTTAGGAACAGTCCTTTGAAGAACACTATTGCCTGTTACTACAAAAGCCAAGAACTGGAAATGGAAGGAAATAAGGTGCGTTCACCGTCATAGCATCAATGAGGCAGCTGGAAAAAAAGCAATCTTTACTGTTCATGTCCATCCTGCAGTTTTTGGTGACATAGCAGTCAAATCTCTAACATCTTAGCCAGCATTAAAGTTTATCACCTGTCAAACAGATGTCAGGGATCTCCAGTTCTACAGTATGTAGACAACACTTCTAGAAGTCAAAATACAAAATACTGTCCCCATGGCAGGGGGGAAAGGTGCTACTATTAAAGCAGATGCTGTCAGACAGGATCTTTATACTTGTGAAGTTTACACTTTAGGAAAGCTTGGTAAATCAGGAGATTTCAGTAAAGGTCTGCAAAAAAGGGGGCAGGAGGTAAGTGCCAGTGTAAGCAACAGAGAGGGAACTCAGGAGTTCATAAAGCAGGGACACATGAAGGTCTCCCCAACCAGAAGCCCACCAGCCAGATGCCTTCCTCCTTGGGACTAACACTCCCAAACCAGGACATGAGAGTGCTAAGAGTGCCCATTCCTATGATGTGCTAACAGAACTTGGGCAACAGTTTCTGTTGTATTTCAGGTTCACCGTAGGCAATGAAAAGCAAGTTAGAACTTCCAAGTTTCATGGCCAAGGTTACAAGGACATGTCTACACAGCACAGTGCAGCCATAACCAAAATTGCAACAGTACCTGAGGCAGGAGAACTGTATTAATTTAATGCTTTCAATGGGTTTAATATGCCCTGCTTCCTTAGCCTCACTAGCCCAGATTTCTACTGGAATTAATTGACAGGGATGAATGGCTCTGAACAAATGAACCTTGTGTACCAGGAGCACCATGCTGTGCAGGCGGACCCCAAAAGCTGCAATAAGCACGTGACACCAGCCAAAGTTTTGGAGATTAAGTTCTAAGTCCTGCCTTAGACCCTGCAAGAAGTTATGCTGCTCCTTGATTTGTTTACCCAAGTGGTCCTCCAGACTCCAGCCTGGGAACAACTTGCAACAAGTTGCCTTAAACTTGTCTTAATTATCAGACACAGGCAGAGCATCCTCCACCATGCGTTGCAATGGTGCATGTAGCTTCTCCCATTCAAAGGGAGAAGCAAAACCACCCCAGCTCCCTGTGTGGATCCACCTCAAGTTCACAAAAGTTTGAATCCTCAGAAGATGTACAAAATAACTTCCTCAAAAGGTCCCTCTGCATGTATTAAAGATCTCCTCCTTCTCTACAAAGTCTTGTCTTCCTCCCTTCCTTTTCCACTACAATTGGAGTCTACAGATGTATAGAGAAAGAAATTGATGTCAGTCTCAAAGGAAACTCTCCCTAAAGCAGTGGGAAAAGTGCAACAGGACAAATACAGCGTTTACAGTCATTTAAGGGACAAGACATTGTGAGGACAGGGATTAAAAAAAGAAGGCTGACCGACATATCAGGTCCAGATCAAACTCCACACCTTGTTAAAATACGCCTAAGTAGCTTTAGCTTGAAAACAAAGCCATTTCAGTCACAAATGAGTTAGAAGTGAATACATGTACTGTGAAGTGAAATTCACGTATTAAAATCTAAAGCATCTTCTTGATTCCAACACCAAAGCTTCCACACAGCTCTTTCCCAAAAATTAACTACTACTATTCAATTGCTCGCTAAGGTAGTAGAAGACAGCAAAAGTTAAGTCACCTACTTATCCAGTGAACTTAAATTGCTAGCGTTCATTTTCCACACTATTCCCCATACTTCGTCTCCAGGGCTCTGAACAATGGTGGCTGTACCTCCATGCCAGACAGAACTTGTCCTGCCTTGATGATGGCCAAACTCGAGCTTAAAATCCTGCAAATGAAACCAATGCAGAGAATCAATTTCCACTTAAGAAACTGGCTATTCTTGACATGAAAGGGGCAGCTAAAGGAGAGTCTACAAGTAGGTAGTGGAGTCACAGGAGGAATGGACAGGTGGAATCTGATCCAGCTCCCATCTTAGAAGGGGCTGAAGTCAGCCTCTTCCACCTCTCCATGAGAAACAGGAACATAGGTCTGGCAGAGAGCACTGTTGGTAAAAGTCTTCGTCTACGGAGACCTGGATCAACATCCAAATCCCTCAGTAGGCTGGCCTAAACATTAGCTAACAATTTCTAGCAGTGAGAAGAAAGTGGAGGTAGCTCTTCCTCTAGAGTAGCACACATACCCAATTCTTCAGTAAATACAGCAGTGCTGAAGAAATCTCAGCTTCACTTGTCCAAGTTGGCAGTGACAGGATTGCTGATGTGCTTCTCTTCACACAATATGAATGGCCCTCGAGCTGAGGTGTGCCATGAAGAAGGGAACTGACTACTGCCTTCTTCTCTTTCCTCAAAAGACACACCTACCTGGTGCCCATTCCCTTGCAGCATTTGGTGCTGTTAAGACCGTTACCATGCAGGGTCCAGGAAAATAGTAAGGGTAAAGAAGCCTCCAAGATGGTGAGCTTTGGGTCTTGTCCTCATGCACTAACAAAATTGCCCAATTATAAAATACCATCCTGTGGATTTTCCAGTGTTCTGTGCCATCTCACCACTCAACTGGAACATTCTCGGGTATATTTAAGTCAAGGTGTATGCTTCCTTGAGTGACCTTATTCAGGTTTTTGCAACTTGAAGTGTTCTTTTAGAAATCACATCTCTTTCTTAAACGTAATATCAAATATTACTTTACAGGTAAAAGAAAATAATGGGTTCTTGCATTTTTCCAGAGTAATTTCCCACCAGACTCCATACACTCAGTTTCCTCTCCTACTTGTTAGCCAATTTGTGGATCCTTCCCTAGCAGTAGGGAAGGGAAAGAAAAAAACATCACCACAAAAAACAACCCACCAGCCTTAAGGAAGACTACCTGCTTAATCACAACAACAAAATCTGGCAAAGGCAAAAAGGATTAAAAACAGCAACAAAAATAAAACCTAAACGTATACAACTCCACAGCTTTGCTTATTTCTCATGATCACCCTCTTTAAGCTATTAGAGAATTTTGATTTGAAATATATACACATACATATTAACAATCACTTTGTGAGACACATTCTCTACTTGTAGTATGTCCTAACAGATATGGGGAAAAGGTTGCAAAAGTTGAGCAGTTGGAGGCTTATACACAGAACAGCACTGATCAGAACACTAACCAAATTTTCCTTTTTGTGTGTGTGTGATAATCAGCAGCCTGGCAAAGCCACACTATTTACTCCGTCAACAGAGTCATCTTCCTACCCCACAAAACGTCTCCCATTTTACTACTTTCACTAGAAAAAAGTTTACTTAAGACACACTAGTCATCAACCATTTGACAAACTGCTGCAGAACAGCTTTGCAGCGTTGGGGTCATCGGATTACAGCATGAGGAGGTCTCTGGACTAGACCCTGCAGACACTCATGCCCAATTAATTGGCACACAAGTAAACGGTCCAGTCAAGCAGTAGCCTGAAGTTATAGATGTGGACAAGTGTTTGCAGGGCAGCCCCAAGGAAATACTCCCATAGACACAAGTATCCTCACAGCAGCCTAGTGGGGAAAAAAAAAAAAAAAAAAAGCACACTGATTTTTAGTTTATTTCTCCAGTTACATTTTCTTGGACCTGACCTGCACTGAATATCTGCAAGGAGGTATATAAAACAGTCAGGTACCACCCAAAAAGGGCAACAGAGACCATACAGAAATAGGGCAATTAGCTCCAGTTCTGGAAGCAGGAAACCCTACGTTACACCATGTGGGCACTGGAGGGAAGAAACACACTAGAGATTATGTTGGGTCAAGAGCTTGGTCTTTGGCCCTTGTTCTAAGTACCAGTGTAATACTCTCTCTGTGCTTGTTACACGTCCCATTTCTTAGAGCTTTTGATTGAAGATTAACAAAGCTTGAAAAAAACGAAAACCAGAGGGAAGGGAATTTAATACTATAGTTTAGCATCCAAAGTACTCTGTTTACAGGCTATGTTTCTTTTGGTTTTTTTTTCAGCCAGCATGGTACTACCGTGGAGCAATTAACAGAAAACCACTCCAACCTTTGTGCACTCCCAAGCACGGGTGATTTTCCAGCTGGAAGCAAGGGAGTGAAGCCGCCCGGCGTTATCAGGGAGCACAGCAATCAGTCGAAGGCCAGCTAGAAAAGCTACCACCTGACTGTCAGCTAACCCGCAGCCTGGCAAGAGACGTTTACTGTGTCACCCAAAAATATACCCAAAACCCAAATGCAGAGCTGAAGCACAGGGCTTTCTTTTAGCTAAAGGTAAGCGCATGACACTACTGCTTTTCTCCTCACCTCCCAGGGCTGACCCTGCAAGGCGCTGGGCTCTGGCAGGTTCAGCTTCTACAGCGGTATCGGGAAGCACCTGGCACTTTACAGCAGCAGGCCTCAGTTGCCTCAGGTTGATTGTCCCAGGAGACACCACGTGTCTAACTACACAGAGTTTATTAATTACAAGTTTTTGGAACTTCTTCATATACTCTGTCTTAGCTTGTTTCCTGCCAGTTACCCCAAGAGAACCTTCAAGTCATCCTTAAGTGGCATCAATCAACGCTCTGTTCCACCAAGGACCCTTCCAGTTGCACAGATCCATACGTCAGCAGCTTAATGATCAGGAGCTCGTATTTCCAAGCCTATGTGGAAGCCAAGTCGATATACCAACATTTAATAACCCCAGACAGGGGAGAACCACCAGGGCACGGGAAGGTGCCACTGCAGTTGCACAGCACTGGGGGAAAGCTTGCATCCCGCCTGACACACAGCATGGGGAGAGCTCCTCGCTTGTAACCAGCATGGCAGAGGGGAAGGAGAAGCTTTGATTTATTTTATTTTATTTTTTTAAACGAAGCATCATCCTTTTAAAACCACCAGGAACTTGTCCCATCAACCCAACTGAGCACTTGCTACTTACATTTGCAGGTTCATAACTCTACACGCGGGGTACTGCCTGGCTTGGTTAACCCCAGTAAGATAAAACCCACAGAGGTGGGACTAATGCCAACACTTCTTCGGCGAAGAGCAGCCCCGACAACGGTCCCCGACCGCCACGCCATGACGTCAGGGGTGACGGTACACCCCCACCCACCTGAACCGTGCTACAGGCTGCTGCACCAGACTCCGTGCAACAGGGCCAGGCCCACGCGTGGCTCTACCGGGGCAAGGGGACCTACCCCCTCCCCGCGACACCACCACGCCGCCATCCCCCCTCCCCCC